TTTTTTTATTCTTTTGCGTAAAACTAAAATTCATTAAAATATTTTTCCATGATTTATAATAATTGGAGTAATGCAAATGCATATTTTCTAAAAAAAGTCATTTTTAGTGAAATTTTGCCGGGAATGGGGCTTTAATAATTATAATATTATAGTATTATATTATTATTATTACTTACAATATAATGATATGTTTTTTTCAATTGTAGTTGGATGATTTATTTCTGGAGTGTGATGAAGCAATACGTTTGGCGGGGCAACTTGCTGCAGGCTTTTCACAGGCTTTGAAGCAGTTTAAGAAAGACTGCTTCTGTACCGGTATGATTGAAAAACCAAAAGCATCGTTGGAAGACTGTATTGAGGGCATCAAGCAGGCGATGGATGAAGATCAGGAACTTGTGGTAATAACCGTTGAATTTAAATACATTTCCATTACATTTTAGTCATCGAGGGCTTCATTTCAACTCCCTCCGCTCCCTTATTTATAGACTCCTAGATACGCCACTGGTTTGATAAACTGTAGTGTCCCCTAAGGGGTGTCCTTTGCATAGGGTGTCACAAAGGATTAATTGTTCTGAAATTACTTTTTTTTTTAAGGCTGTTAATGATAGTGGATTTCTACAACTAGCTGTCAAAGGTGAAATGCTTGAAGAAGAGGAAAAATCAGAAGATATGAAAAAGGTTATGCTGACCTTCCACTCAGAGGTAAAGTAAATATTTGTCTAATAATTGTATTAACAAATGCGAATGAAGATATGCTACTCATAAATAATCATTCCTATAATAACAAACCACACCTGCAAGGCCAAAGGTTCCTTTTCAGCCCTTGGTAAAATATTACGTTATTTGTAATGATGTAAATATAAATAAGGAAACAACGAAACCAGATCGCATAGTAATATAGTGAGGGTTGTATCATAATCTTAACAAGGACTTTCCTTTAAAGAAAGCTCAAAATATAGTTTTTTTTAAATTCTTGATTTGGGTAGAAATGTCAGGGATTTTTTTTGTCTTCTAATCTGAAACAATAGTCGTGGCAGTCATCATTTGGAGAGGTCAGGCAATTACATCCACTTTTTGCAAAATAGACATACAATAATCCAATGTACTATTGGCGCTAGATAGTTCTGAGGCTTAGATTGATTGTTTCAATATTAATCAAAAACTGTATTCAAGCAATAGGTCACAATTAGAAAATTTAAAATAGAAGGAGCCCAGGGAGGTACATTCAGAAATGGAGGTCTATACCACCTCAGCCCCACCATGGTTGAGGCTAAGGTTAGAAAGTTTTATGATTATGGCACCTCTACTGTAGATGGCCGGAAGTGACACTCTCAGACTTAAATTTGTATGTAATTTTCTTTTTCCTCCATTTTTTTATAATTTTGAAAAAAATTTGGTGAGGCCTCCACACCTTGAATTCGCCACTCTACATGTTTACAACATATCGTAACCAATAGGCCTGTCCGGACATTTAGATTTCCATGTATACACACTTTCGACAACAGCGTTACATATGGACGGATGAACACATCCAGGCCATTACAAAGTTTCCTATTGCTTAATGCAGCATGTAGTAAGAACTGATAATGGATTCTCTACACCCTACAGGAAATATTGATCACCAAGGGAAATTCTTAATATTCAAAAAGAACCGCATCTTTACTCTCGCGTGCAAGCAAAAATATCTCTGAAAATACCCACATCCCGCAAATTCATGTTGTTTACATGTTGATACAATTGTATTGTCAAGTGTCTCCCTGAATTCATCTGTTGATGGGTATCATCTAGCACACCAAAATAAAATCAGATAATTTAAGAAGTGCCTTCTCTCAACTCTTAAGGGCAATGTACTGTAGGAGTGGTTTGGAACAGCGGTTGCGGATCCCTCACTGTACATTTGTCTGAGCCCTTAGGCAAGGCACTTTACTTACGGTTGTCTCTCTCCACCCAGGAGCGCAAGTGGGTACCTGGTAGGCTAAAACACAAAATGCGCGATTACAGCTGCAACATTATGGGCCCGTTCAAGCGAAAAAGTATCTGCGATTTACCAGTTAATTCACCAGTACACACTTTCTAAAACCACTCGGACACTAGCCTAATTACCTTACCATCTGAAATATCCGCAAAAATTTTGACCACCAAATTGCTAGGTAGAATACCGTGTATGGAATGACCATGGAGTGGAAGCGATGATAAATCAACCTAATTGTTTTCCAAATGTTTTGTCCACAGTCAGCGCGCGAAATTCAGAAGGGTTACGGCCCAGGCCTGTTTGCAGCTCTTCTTCGCCTCCTCACATGACAAAATCAAAGTTAGCTTAGCTACGCGTTCGAATTGCAGATTTACCATTATTCGGAGAAATAATCTTGAATAAACTAGCCTACGTACAGATTTTAAAGCAGCATTTATAACTTGTTGAGCTCAAATACCGTTCGTGTGTGCCACACTGTGCATACGTGGGCCGGTTATAGAAGCTGCAGTAGAAAGTGAACAAAGTATGGGTTGTTGAACATGGGACAAGTTGGAATTTACTTCCGGAAGAGTTTCGTTACACAGTATTTAACATGAGCTAAAACTTGCTTGAACGGTCGACCACCCACTGAGTGCTCAGCGCAATTAACCGGTAAAGTAATCGGAATACGGTTGGCATTTTTCGCTCAAACAGGCCCTATTGAATTTTTTCCCAGGGTGCCGAGTATGTGTTCCATATGTGATTGATCCAATGACTGCCGGGGGTAATAATGTGAAAAGCTTAGAGGCGTTATTGGCATTAATCGCTATACAAGTCTAATAACACATTATTATTAATGAGATTGAATGGTCTTCTTTCTGTTCCTTGACTTTACTTAGGTATTGGTTTCGAGCAAAGCAATTCTACAGCACTGTCCTCGTATTGACACTCATTTATCCAAGATGGATGCCAAGATTCTTAACCAGTGCAAGTCCCTTCCTGATTCCTTAACCCAGCAGGAACACACTGTCACAACGCGTAATATCGAACACATGCAGTTTGCTATAGACAACAATCGTGCACGCATCAAGCTTACAAGGAGCCAGGCAAGTACGTGCCTACAAGATGTGGATAATGCCTATAAAAAGATTAAGGCTTCTCTCATATGGTAGATTTATGCTCAACACATACACCGAACACACACTCCAGAGGAAAGTGGCTAGAATCTATTATTATTATTACTGTAGTGGTAATATTAATACTATGATTGTAATAAATATGATAAATATTATTACTTAACATTATCCTCATATTTATTGTAAAAATGATGCCATACAATCGAATTGTAAATTTTTTTTATTTTTTGTCATTTGAAGCTGCAGTTTAACGTCATACCCAGGACAACCTTAGCTATACTAAACTGCACTTAGCTAAACTTAATTAGGACACCAGACAACCCTGAAGGACCTGTCTCCATATGATTTCAAACTGCTAATATAAAAATTAATATTAAAATTTAAAAAGTAAATTGTTATTTTGTGTAGTTAGATGTTGCTATTCCTGTTCATAAGGTTCATGAATAATGTATTAATGTTATGACTGACAATGTATTTTATTATTATTATTATTGAATTTCTTAAGGTAGTGTAAAAAAAAATATTTTATTTAGCAAAAACTATGAAATTGTAACTATGTTATTGTGGTCCTTTTAGTTTATGCCTTCATCATGACAGGGCCTCAAAGGGGCTACCATAGAATTAGTCATTTTACATAGTAATCGGTTGTTGTAAAGTACAGTAGTCTTATTAACATTATAAAATGTACTATCTAAAATTAAGTTTTTGAAATCCGTCCTTATCATAAAGTATGTTATATTTGCATAGTATGTAAAAAATATTGTCCGATGATAAATTTAATATATATTTTACTGTAAATGTCTCATTGCAGATATCGTGTGATGTAAACATTAAATGGAAATTAAGATTTAATAAGGTTTATTTGTTTTGTTCAGACTGTGTTTTGAATACTTGCCTATTTTTAGAGGGGTCCTAACCCTCCTGGAATGGAGACAATCGCACTCCCACAAGCAAACAAGAATCTCCTGAAGAGAAATCATATTGCATGTTTTTGTTACTTTATCATCAATTGTTTCACAGAAGTCAGTACCAATGATTATAATCATGTGCAGCAATATAAAGTTAAATGTAAAGCTCATTTAACCAGATCTTCCTGCTTGGGTTTTTTCTTCCAGCTTGGGATCCCTGTTTTTGTGTAGGAAGCACTGAGCTTGGCTTTATTCATTTATTATCAACTCACCCATATTCAAATCAAGCTGTTCAATCTCAGAACTGCTGTCGCTTCCTCTGCATTCATTGTGCATGAATATTACTATCTAACTTACTTTTACAAGGCATTGCTCACTATTACTTGGCTACTTATCCTTAGCTTCCTTTCCATCTAAACTATTATTATTAAGAATGCATCAACACAAAACGACTTGGTTTTCAATACTTATTATGCTGTATTTATCATTTTTCATTTCAACATAAAAAATTTTCATAGCATGTTAGTATTGGAAGAAACCCACGACAGTGTGATAGATATTTTTACATTTATATCAGGTTTTATATAATAATAATAATAATAATAAAAACATTTTAGCATTTATATAGCGCTCTTTACCGGAGTCTTACAGTGCAAGTATGAACTATAGAAAAAGGTGAGTTTTAAGAAGAAATTTGAATTAAGAAGGAGTTGGAGCATAATGGATGACAGTAGGAATGATTCCAGAGAACAGAGAAAATGCATAAATGTCTTTGGGGACTGATGTTAAGTTTCAGTGATTTTGGTGTATATTAGTATAAAAGTTCAGAGCGAAGGCCAGCACGTAATGGAGTATATAAACTTATAAGTAGTGGGCAGTGTTTATATCAACAATGCCCCCATAATCCATTCATGCAATAACAAATTTAAGATACTGTCATAAATGTAAGTATATTTTCAGAATAAGCGATACTATACTATACAGTATGTCAACACCATTGTTGTAATCTGCCAACAACATTAGGCATAAGCATGACCAGGTATAGAAATAAGTTGTGATGATGTAATGTGAGCCTATTGTATAGTGTGTATATGTAGAGTATAGAGCATGCAGTATGCATTTTGTTTAATTATTATTACCTGCTTAAACGATAATGTAATTTAATGTGGTACATGTAGTGTTGGTTTTTATGCCTGTATATGGATTGAATTTAACCAAATTTTAGGAGTAGGCCTACCGATGAGCATCAATTATTTAATTGAATATATTGAAATTTTGGTGGACAGTACACAAGTGCAGATTTGATGTTAATATTGGGTGTGAATCTGAAGTTAGATGAAGTTATCATCCATTCCTCTCATTATTACGGAATCCATTTGCCTTGCTCTAAATTAACTACACTTAAACAAAGAATATAGAAAGCAGAAGAACGAGCAGTGAGCGTATTTTGCAGTACAGAATTGTAACGCTTTTTACCGGAGGTGCGTCATATCATGCGAGCCATGCCCTCTCGCGACAGGTGTGATAGATGATTGGAAAGCACTTTTGTAACAGAGGCACACGTTACAATAGGCCTACCACAGAACATCCAAAACAAACAACTTTTTAAAAAGCTTAAAACAGAAAAAAAGGAAATTACACAAAAGTACCATAACAACAAGGTGAGCATGAAATAGGCCTAAATGTGCAACTAGCTTGCACAAATGAGATGGAATACAAAACTACACACAAAAAAAACCCAAAATTAACAACATTTTCCGTGTGTGTATGCATAATATACATATGTATATACACATAGGCATATATATATATATATATATATATATATATACTCGCCACTGAGGAAGGACTAGTGTTGTCCGAAAGCTCTGGTTCTATTTCTGGCTGTTTACTTACGTTTACTTTTTAGCTGCTGCTTATCATATATATATATATATATATATATATATATATATATATATGTATATGCATACATATACACACATGCATGCATACAAACGCACAACACACATACATGCATAAACTTCCCTTACATGTATATGTATACCAATACATACAGTATCAATCATTAAAGGAAAAATGATAGTAGGCTTAAAATCCAGTAAAAGTTATAATATGTTAAAGCGAAGGGATAAAAAACAAATGTGTTTAAAAAAAATAAATAATTTCTTTTAAAAAGTAATTACAATTACAGGTAATAATGTGGAGTGGGCTGATTGCGATGCCATTTTCGACTTGCATGCCTTTTCAAAAAATTATATTTATTTATCTAATATGTAATTTTTATACGAGTATATATAGAGTATAATACTATTATTTTATTTTTTATATTTATTTTTTGCATACTTCATTTTATGTATATATGTATGTAAGCCTATGTTTACATCAATTGCCTGTTATGTCCTATTACCTACTAACATAACATTACATGATCTGCTGTAGATTGAAATTTATTTCATAATGGCTTGTTTATATAATGTAGGCCCGTTATCAATAACGAATATTGTATTTGTAACATGATACCGGTAGTGGCCTATTTTTTCATAGTTGTTTCCTACATGATACCCTGGATATTGAAATACATTCATACAGGGATAAAACTAATACAGTACAGTACTGTATTAGGCGTGTATTTTTTGGTGTAAAAGGGATAATTATAATATTGTAATACTCAAATAAACGGCCCTTAATTTCACAGTAAGAACACATTATTAATAAATAATACTGCAGTTTTATATAGCGCCGCATCCATCTAATATAAGATGCTCAGAGCAGTAGGCCTTATTTGATCATTAATACTTGATCCTAACCAGGTTGGAAAAAATGTACTCTATTACAGCAGAATATTAATTGAATGTGTTGAGAATGATGTAGCTCTCATTAGTGTAAAAGGTTGGGTGTGGGGTGGGGGGGGGAGTTTATTTGAGGAAAAAATAAATGCCAAGAGCATGTTTTTTTTTTTTTTTAATGGCCTATCCAATTATCTTATAGGTCTGCTAGAGCAACAAGAATAGAATAATTAGACCTAGAATAATTAATAAATACCTAAACAAATTCTAACTCTCTACTCTAGCTATGCCTACCCTAATAAATGATAAGGAAACATATGAAAAAGGTAAGAACTGATCAGGCACATAAGAAAGGAAAAGGAAAAAATTATTTGGAATTATAAGAAAGTAAAAGGAAAGAAAGATAAGGAAACAAAAGATGGAGTAGGAAAAGAAAAGATAGGGAAACGTAAGAAAGAAAAAGGAAAGGAAAGATAAGGAAAAATAGACACAGAAACCCAAGAAGGAAAAAGGAAAGAAATGATAAGGAAATGTAAGAATGGAATATGAAAGGTAGATTAGAAATATAAGAAAATTAAAGAAAGATAAGGAAACTAAGAAAGGAACAGGAAAGATAAGATAATGGAACATAAGAAAGGGCAAGGAAAGAAAATATAAGAAAATGTTGAAAGGGAAAAGGAAATAATTGATAAGGCAATTATACAAATGGAATAATAAGAAAGAAATATAAGAAACTATAAGTAAGGGAAAAAAACGGGGTGGGTTCACAGGAGTTTTTATGGCTTAGTCCAAAATGTGCTTTTAGACCACAAATGGCAATCTAAGTAATGTTATTTGGATAGGCAAATTATTTTTTTTTTAATCATATATAGTCAATATATTATTATTTAATTTATTATTATTATTGTTATTATTATTATTACACAAAATCACAAATTTTACAGATAGGAAAGGTGCATTAAAAGCATAAATATACCCCTAAATTTAGTCTATCCCTTCTTAAATCAATAATAAAAAGCCTTAATCTGAACAACAAAAATATTACATAATCCTACCATTTTAAGGCATGAGACACAGAAACCACAAGTTTTTTTTTTCAAATTCATTTTAACAGCAAGAGATTCATTGGTACGGCCTTTTTCATATTATTTCACATTTATTTATTTTTCGAATAAGGGTTACAAACAAAATGGAACAAGTGATTCATGATCACGTGATACACGTGTTTTTTCACACCCCCACCCCACCCACCCACACACCCACATACGCAGTATGGTATAATTACCGTTTCAATGTGTATAGATTCGTTACTAATACTCTACTAGCAGAACCAAATGCGCCTAGACGCAAGTTGAGAGGGCGCTACACAAAAACTCAGAAATACTGTCATATTAAGACTAGTCTAGACTTATCTGGAAAGGCAACGCCAACAAAAGTATAAACACATTTACTATACATTACAATACTGGTGGCAGTATTTAACAATATTGCAACTCTGAAGGACCCCACTCGAAATAAGTCTTCTTCTAGACTTTCGTGGGCTATCCTTGGTGTTTACACCGAATAAATCCAATCAAATCCAATCCAACAACGAAATGTCGGCTACTATTGCTACCCTTATCAAATGACCTGAAAATAGTGTACAACAAAAATTATCTAATAATATGGTTTACAAAATGCAAAGCGATTATAATCGTGTTATTATGGTGATTGTTTGGAGTAGTACTTCCCGCATATTTACGGGAAGGTTTAATAGAACCTTTTAAGACGGTTAATAAAAGAGTAGTTGTATTAGGAGCCTGAAATAATTGTCATTATTAGTTCTTATTTGTTTTGGTTCTTTGAATACTTGAAACGGTGTCTTGATGCGTTAGTCACCTACCTGTTGTTGAGTCATATTTGCAGATTCAACCAGTGCTTCATAACTGGATTATTATGCACTCTTACTTGGGCCACGTGTTAGTATATATACGTGTTATATATATATATATATATATTTATTTATATATATATATATATATATATATATGCATGCATATATAGGCCTATATATAAGCATATATATAGGTATATATAGGTGTCTATATATGCCTATATATATATATGTGTGTACATTATTATATATATATTAATGTTTTCATAATGCAATTTCATCCTGACCTATAGCGTTCTATCAATTTTCTATAGCATTCTTTTAAACCCCTATAGCGTTTCTATAGAATTCTATCAACTATTTGCTAATGGAATGTAAATAATCATCAGTGTGCTTCAGCATACTTAATTTGCACAACTGAATTATGCATATCCTGTTGGCCTAATTGTTAGTTCATTTGCATATTAACATTTATTATAATAGTAAATCGTGTATACCAACAAAGCATTAGGAAAATGATATCTTGAATTTATATAGAAATCATCTACAGCAGTTTTTAGGATCTTATTGGAAATATAAAGAGCATCTATGTTAAACCATGCTCATTATGCAACCTATATAACCTATAGACTTCTACGGATTACCTATCATTCTCTAAAACCTGTAGAGAATTCTTATAGAATTTTATCAATCAAGCGTGGATTAAATGTTTGTCATTTATTCAGACCAGCTTTAGCAGTGTCCAGTATTGAATCCAGAATAGCCCTGATCCATTGACTATCATTAGAACAGTGCATGATAGAACATCCCATTGATACATTAAGCATCATATCATTCTTAAATATCCATTTTATGTAATTTCAGGCAGTTGATCTTCCAATAATAATTCTGTTTCTATTTGTTAGTATGTGGGGAAAGCATGAATTTTTCAACCAAAAATTTATTAGAATATAGGCCTATTAAATTCTTGATTTCATCATGTGTTAGTTCTTACTATGTTTGATGCTTGGATGCACGTCTTCATGATGAGGAGGATAACAAGGTGTAAACGTCATGAAACTCCAGTGGGTAAATTTTAATTTCAATAATTATATTTATTTGAGACTCGTGTCTTATAGGTACTGTAGTGTACCTGAATAATTACAATTCTTTAAGACTATGAACAGCAATTTAAACCATGGAATCATCACCTGTAAATTACAAAATGAGAATTTTTATCTTGGTCGTTGATTGATGTTGATTATTTTTTACGCCATGTATTAATTTGGTCGCTATCTTGATGCACACGTGAAATCTGTTGATCAACCGTTTTGATATTTGTTTAGACATGTGGTAATACACATTTATTACAATATTTCCATTTTTAGTCATATAACTATGTGTGTAATATAAAATTCATAATAAATTGGTGTACTTCCCCACTGTTATCTCCATCGGTCCACACCTTCTCCGGCCACACTTAAAACGGGAATGAATGAGAAAGCAGTAAACACGTTTACTATCGTACGTTATGCTACCACCTGATATTCCGACATGTAAATCTATCATTTTTTGGTTGTTGAAACGAATTTATACATATTAATGCATGAGCATGTTTATTAGATATTTAATTAATTCCAAGTAGTGAAGATTTTTTAAAATATAACCTCGAAAACAAAATATATTCAGGTATCGGTGTAGTTTCCAATAACATAAATATCATGAACTAGGCCTACAGACACCATTTTTTGCAGTCTTTCTGATTTTAAACGTTATAGTAGCTCTTCTGGGCTTTTATGATATCAGCTCTGAACGAAGAATTCTACGTAATCATTTGAGACTAATGCTACAATTGAGCCTAAGGTGTTTCATGATAGCCAACTGTAAATATAGTAGGCTTAGCTAACCGGAACGTTCAATTTTCTTTTTAAAAATTATTCTGTAGCATATAACAGAAACAACTAGTGCAACCTTCGTGTACTCTATTTTTTGAAAAATTATTGATAAAAAAAACCAAAAAAAACATAACAATATGTTCCAAAAGAAGCAATTTTACAGTTACATTGAATATACAAATATACTTGAAAATGAAGACATAAAACGCTGCCTGGGTTGTTTACCCAGGCAGCGTCTGGGGGCTATAAGGTACTGCCACCCGCATTTTGATAACTCACAATGGACTGGGGGCTAGCAGGTACTGCCAACCATAACGTGAAAACAGGTAAATTATTGACAATGTAAATAAATAATATATTAATAAAATTAAACATTAAATAATAATAATCTAATGTTTCAAATATAATCTTTTTAATATTTCCCTTTAATGTTGAAAGTGATGTCATTTTACTTGGTTGTAGGGTGGTTAGTAGTTTGTTCCAATAATGTGGGCCTTCAATAAATATTGATCTTTTACTTAGGCCTATGTCTAGTCTATTGGGTGGGATGTACATCTTGTTAACGTTTCGTAATGTTTCTGCGCGATCGGATTTTGTTTTTGAATCAATCAATTTTTTCAATTGGGGATGGGAGTTCTTGAAGATGATATTTGAGCACAAAGCATGATTGTACTTTATTTAGATCGTACATACTTAAACTTTTTAACAGAGGTTTAAGCGGCTTCCAGAATAATTTATACGGATTCCAAGGAACATAATGCCGGTTTTTCACTAGGCGAATTTATTCGCGTGAATCGAAACCGCCGGTTGCTCATTCAAATTTGTATTGGAGTTTTTGCGAAGCAAAAAAATTGCGCAACCAATCAGAGCTCAGGAAACGAAACCGACGCTTTGATTCGAGCGAATAAATTCGCCTAGTGAAAAACAGGCTTAACTGTTTTTTTATTTAAAATTGAATTGGGAGCAGTAAGTGTCCAACTTTACACTACTTTCTCCGTATTTACATTGGCATAGTCAAACCTTTGATATCATCATCAGATGCCAAAATATTTTTAAAAACTATTGTGAATATGTCGGATAAGCTTTTAAGATTCCACTTTTCATTGAAAATATCCTGAAAGATTGTAATAGTAATATATTCTCTGACATTCGTAATGGCAACGATAATATTAACATGCAATGGGCTTCCAGAATGCTTTAAGAGATCTCACATTATCTCAATGGCTTGAAAAAGGGAAAAGCAAATCGTCTATTAAAAACTATATGACTGTAAAGAATGCTCCTACATTGGAGGTATATCTTCTTGATAGCAATGACTTTGAGGGCGCTTCATTGAAATTCAAATTAAGGTCGAATACCCTTCCTCTGGATGGCGAAATAGCAAAATTGTCTAATGATCCTAATGCTAATGGGTTCTGTAAATGCTGTAATATAAACGAAGAAGAAAATATTACTCACTTTTTATTAACTTGCCCTGCTCTAAATTATATTAAAAATGAGGAAATCCAGAAGTTTAAACAGCAGCTCTCTCTTAACGATTTCCTACACGTTTTCCAAAAATTCCAACAATTAGATATTGAAAACAAATTACTCTTTATTCTCGGCAATGACAATAACTTATTCCATCAAAAAATTAAAATCTTGATCGACAAATTTTGCAAATCCTTAGCAAAAGAGCATGGAGAAAAAGGTGTGATCTTCTTAAAGATTAAATTGACTTTGTGTTGTTGTGTTTTATGTCTCTTTTTATTTTTATTTTCTTTTACTTTACTGTATATTTTCTTTAGTTTTGTTAAGATTGCTTTTGTATTAGTTAAGATGTTTGACGCACCACCTGTTGAGTGCCACCGATATAAATGGTGTATGTCAATAAATTATTATTATTATTATTATTATTATTATTATTATTATTATTATTATTATTATTATTATTATTATTATTATTATTATTATTATTATTATTATTATTATTATTATACCTAATCATGATTATCTTCAAACATTTCATTAGGCTTATTATTGTCGTCATCGTCGTAATCATCATCGTCAGTCACCATAATGATTATCGATTTTATTCACCACTGACATACAGTGCCATACAAGAAGCCTAATTATTATTATTATATTAATATCAATTATTAGTTTTCTGTATTAACAAATAAAAAATCAAGTTTGAGGTACGTTTACAAATAGTAAACTTTATTTTCTTAGATTGACAAAAAAAGCAGACTTACAGTACAAACAAAATCCCTGAGCGTTTATGCTATGCGAAGGAGATCAAAACGAAATCTAGCATTTATCACAATGGTTAAAACCTTAATCATTCCCACAGCTATTACAAAATAGCTCAATACATTATTAACCTGGTGTCACAAGTATCTTCCCCATCCCCTCAGCTTAAAACCACAGTGAATTTGATCTCGGGCAGAGAACTCGGTCCCACGAGCTGAATTCACTAGGGATATCGATCCCCGTTTAGGGAATTCGACTTGTTGGAGAGCGCTGACGTACATTTTGGAGTGGCAAAATCCTTGTGACACCAGCCGCACAATGTGTCGGCATTAGTAGCCGATGTGACGCGTTGTGCGAAGCGTCGTTTTTAGTGACGATCCATTCAGACTGCTACCGACGGTCAGCGGACAGGCATTGCGTCACGCAAGCGTTACAGCCTAGTATGCACCAAGCGTTAAAACACGCAAAGAGGGCCTTCAACAACTGCACTCCTATTAAAAAATACGAACCAATGTGTCCAATTGCCTTCAGAATCTATTATGAATCTGATATTAGACTTTATAAAGATATCGCCACTGGTGCTTCTTGTTAATCACAGATCACAGGATCAGTGATTAGGGTTCGGACATCATTACATTTAAGTAGACAAACAACACTACACATAGTACTTACTCTAAGGTAGCAGAGTTCTACCGTTTCAATAAGGTCTACTTCTTACATTAAACTAAGACTACCGTACCTAACAGTTGATAATGATATGATACTAGCGTCGACAAGTCCTTGCCCTTGTTAAAGATTCATTCTCCCTCCACCCCACCCTGTACATTTAAGTTGAAAAAATTCCCAAAGTTATAAAAATCAAAAAAGCCATTGTGATTAACAGTAGCCTATTTATTAAGTAATAGTATTATTGTATTATCATTACGATGATTACGTAATCATAACGATGTCTGAATCATCAACACACTCTATGCTGAAATGATGTCCAGAGTTTTACTTTTTACTAATAGGGGGAGTGTTCACATTTTGTAAAAATTACTTTTTAACTTAAAATTAATACAGCAGGCTTACCAAACATTAAAAGAATACGTAATACGATAGATATTATGTACACTTTAAAAAATCTAAATGTACAATCATACCTTAAGATATCATATTAGGCCTATCACAATAATAATAATATAGTATTAGGCCTACTTGATAATCATTATTATACTTTAATAACATATCATTGGTTTTGATTATCTTTTAAGCTAACAAACCCTAATATTTAATAATAGGCCTTCCGCAGTAAGCCTGCTTTCGTCTTTCAATAGTCCTTATGCAATTTTTTTGAGTTCTATAACATGTTCATTTTAAGAAGTTTCTCTCTATTACACTAAATGTTAATCTTAATGTTTTCAATAATCCTTATATTAAGAATACTTAAAAATAATTAGGCCTAGGCGTTTTTGCATTTACATAATAATTGTGTGCAACAATATTTATTAAATAGCTGGATTGTTATCCCATTAGTGTCTACAAATCTTTCTAATCTATAATAATAATAATAATATAATAATAATATAATAAAGAAAAAATTATAATATACGATCAGATTTCTATTGCCATGAATAAAAACGGTACATACATTCATTATGTCACAGCTTATCAATATCATCTTAATAATATCAATAGTATATCAATACTAATAACAATGTGATAATATTACAATATTAAAATATATTGATAATATAATTATGATTATTATGATTAATATTATAATTTTAATATATATAGTAATGACTTCGATGAATAAGAAAGAAAATTTACACCTGTAATTGGCGAGCTTCTCGTTGTTGGATGTGAAATTTAAAAAAAAAACAAAAAAAAAACAAGAACAAATAACATTTTTAAAAAAACATCATAAATTGATTTATTCATTGAGACAATATTTTCAACAATGAAAATAATCTATAGTGTGATAAAAAAAATTTATAAAACCCCCCCAACAATAACACTGTTAAAAAAATATAACAATTTATTAAGAAAAATAACTTAAAAAAATACGGTAAGTAGGAGTAAATGACAATAATTTACTACAAACAATTAATATTGTGACAATAAAAACAACATTTAGTAATAATAACAATCATCATCGTTATCATTTGAGGTATTTCGGTCCATAGTTATCAAACACGTTGATTTAAAGCCATCACCATTCACATATTAAAAGGGGATTTACATCGGCATAGTAACAGCAGGAACAAAAGTAATCCGAATTCATAACATTGTTGGTTTGCCCACAATAACCTTTACCACAAAACACTACGCCATAAAATTAACATTTAATAAGAAAAGATTTCAGTAACAATTTATCATTAGAGGAAGAAGAGTCAATTATCACTTTTATATACTGTTACATGCCTAACCCCCCCCCCCACAACCATTACAAGAATCGTTTAACAAAATCATTTTCAACAAATCGTAAAACAATAATTAAAGTTAATGAAATTAACGTGACAGGATTTACTTTTAACTTTACTAGTTAAAAGATTTTCATTTACCATACCAATATGTTCATAGAAGATGGCTCGCCACAAAAGTACAACATTAATCAGTGGCGGACCCCAGGTTGGAAACCACTGCGCTAGATGGCTTTACGCGCTACCGGTATATCAAGTTGGTAGGTATTATGATCACAAAGTTTTATATGGATAGGCCTACCGGCATGATGTGAGCTAATAATATAGACTTGAACTATTAATAATTCAATATTTAATTTGCTTATTTTGTATATTAAACATCACTCATTGATCAAATAAACTTCAACAATAAGATTTTTTTTTATTGAATGTTTACTTTGTTCTATTTAAAGGGATTATGTTATTACAATATTTATAGTTATTAAATATAGGCCTACCGGTATACTGTCTATATTGACCCATTAAGCTTAACCAAAACAATTAAATATTTAAAGTGCTTATTGTATCATTTTTTTCTAGATATGTCTGTGTTACGGGAACCTAATAAACTTGAATGATATAGTTAAATATATTTGAGTTCAATGTACCGTTACGCAAATCTTCATCTCTTGGATATTGTTGCTAAGGCCCCATAAAACTACAGCGTAAACCTGTGTCTGTGGGACATGCGCGTATTCCTTGCCCTTTTTCTGAGTAGTGTAGCATCTGTTAAGTTCGATTGACGAGTAACTTCGGAAAGGGTTCATTGAAAAATAGAACGGACAGGTTTTTTTTTTTTCATCACCAATAACTAAATTAATAGACGCATAGATTATACGTTCCTATTATTTACATGAAATCTTCAATTTTTGCTTGCAGTGAATTTCAAGATTTTTGTATGTACTAAAAAGTTTGTATATCTGCGAAAACTGAAATGTTTTGAACCATGTGTCATTATACTTAATAATTTATCGTATTTGATTTTGGTTTTTTTTTTCTAAATTTGGATTATCAGCAAAATTAAGGACTAATGTCATGGGAACAATATAGGCCTACAAGGGAAAATAACTATACCTTTACAGGGTATGTAAATTATATGAGTTCCCATTAGATATCCGCTGCTAATCTGACACCATTAGGCCTACATTAAATATATTTAAGAATAGTATTTAACTTACCACCTATCATAATTTTATACGTAACGTACTAGTATTAATTTTGTTGCGTGATTATTTTATTGTTGAATCTGGACCTTTCGGGAGATCAGTAATTATGTATTCACAGAGCATTTCCAGAAATATAGGACGATTTGATATATATATATATATATATACTGTCTCTTATACAGGTATTAACCTGTCTCTTATACACATCTAGATGTGTATAAGAGACAGATATATATATATATAGGCCTATATATTTTTTTCATTATATATTCCCACAACGGAAATCTGGGAACTAATTTCAATTAATATAACTCAATGAATAGGCCTATATAATGTAAGCATATTAAATATTGATTTGTAAGGCTTCACTCGTAGAAGGTCTAATAATAAATAAATAAATAAATAATAGTTTTGTAGTATTCTGAAACTGAAAGAATTAACGGAGCTTCCCGTGATTTAGCAACAAATGGGTCGATCATGGAACGTTTACAACTTTACAATCAAAGAAATAACATCAATTTTTAGTGCTTTCAAGATCAAGCTAATACTAGTGGTGTTCATGTATAAATTGACGATTGCATTTTAAATGACACGATCCACAAGCATAGAATTAATATATTATCGTCGTTTTGTTTTGGAGCGCTCTGCCGTCGATTTCTTTTGGGACAGACTAAAGCAAATTCCACAATCAAACCAAGATTTTGTAGAATACATTAGCAAGGGCCTCTTATTAACATGAAAATGGTTGGCGCATACTTGACGCATTCATGTTGTTACGTCCGTCCTAGGAATCGTTTTGTACTGTTGTCTGTCCTTCACTAGATTCTTCCGATTTTTCTTCAGGTTCGTCGTCGTCACCTTTCGGCCGAGTTCCTTTCGCGGCGATTTTAACTTGATTAGCTCTTGCTTTCTTCTTTTCTTCACAGGCCGCCACTAAATGATCTTCCGACTTACAGAAATGACATCTCTTTGGTAGAGGCGGAGAAGTGCAGTCTTTTGCATAATGACCATGTTCTCCGCAGTTGAAGCACCTTAAAAAAAAACGGACATAAAATTGTTACAACTTCCCAAAATTGATGATGCATCTAAACACAACCATCTTATATACAATTGTGGATTTGTTGTCCATGATAAATTTCTGGAGTCAGTACTTTTAAATACAAAATAGTAAAAATGGAGTGTCTTTAACGATCACTCAAAGCTCACTCTTTCTCCTGCCCTTAAAAGTGAAATTCACTCTGAATAGGGCCTACAGCATAATTTCACTGATTTTTCATTCATTCTATCTAATTCATTCTAGTCGAGTGATCACTGTAAACACTCGTTCACTCCTTGCATTTCGGGAGTAGGCCTACGTAAAAATGTATCAGGTTAACGACTACCTACTGAGTCCGTTTATATGTCATTATTTATCTACAGTATATTCCATAAGTTCACAAGAAATGGTTTCATATACAGGCTACAAAATGGTATCATGTTCGTATATTAATATCTCAAGTCAATAATGGTGATGCTAGGCTATTCAAGATCTTGTCAAAGGGCCACCAAAGGAGAGTGGAACTTTCGCTTGGGATGATTGTTTGGGCTCAAATCCTACAATTCCAGCCTCTTAATAAGTCTTGAGTGTTTCATTGTCACATTCTGTAGGCCTAGGCCTAAGTTGACTTCAGAAACCATGATAGACATTGGATACGTGCAGAAATCTCCGGTACATCTGGATTGAACGGAAGTTAATTTGGAAAGTTACGCTGTTCGAGCAGTTAAAATACTTTACGCAACCAAAATAAATAAACAAAGGAAATAAAAACATGAAAAATAGAATTAATAAAGACATAGGCCTATTAGAGGAGAAAACTAGTACATTATAGTGGCTTCATACGTTTACCGTAAACTTTCCAACCCTACAATGATACTGCTAATCTCAATCGACAGATGCCCAACAAGCTTACCACCACCACTAATTTCATATGTTGTGTATTCACTTAATTCTTGTCGTGACCCATGCACTTTGGACGATCTTTTCTGAACCAGAACCATTCGTTTATCTTGGGTTTCCAGATGCCCTTAAAATCTCGTTTTTAATTCAAAAAGCGCCCCTTCAATTTCCAAGTTCTCATCGGCACCCTTTAACTTTCATCTGTTTCCATAAGCGCCTCCATAAATTTCCACTCTGTTTTCATAATCGCCCCGTTTGAATAAGTGCCCCTCAGAAAGGTAAACAAATATTCGCTTATTCGAGTGAGTACGGTACTACCAAACATAATTCTTTAGGATTAAACAATAACAACCGTGTAACGCCGGATATGGTGGTGGTGGTACAATTACTTTAGCACTACTTAGGCCTATTACTTGTAACGCGCGCCCTCGAATATGCGACGCACTAAGCCCCTAAAGATCAGCGGATTCTTTTTGGAAAATTTACGGTATTTGCACACCAGTTATAGTCTTCTTTAAAAATTAAAAAATTAAAAAAACACCACTGGCTCGAAGCGTGTGCTTCTGACCAAGTGATCGAGACTGAAGAACTGAAGGAGATACTAACCTTGTTGATCGAGGCCTATTTCCTTTACAGTCGGCCCCATCTGGTCCGGTAACTACCGTAGCTTCCCGTCCCTGATCAGAAAAATTAAATCGGTATTCGACTGCTTCGTTCTTTTCTAAACTCCTAAACCCAGGCTTCTTTACGACAGACTGAAACATTGTAATGGAAAAAAAACATATATGGCATTAATTTCAAACAATGGTTATTTTAAATTAAGATAACTTGATACCGTATATTGTTTTGAGTTAATAACTAAAATGATAATTTCAAACTTGTATACATTTATTACTGTAGCTTCCAAATTGAGAATAGAACAAAGGAAATTTTCACCAGACGCATAAATAACATCCGTTTCAATAATTCATTGCTTCAAACCTTAAGTTGCCTGTTTAATTGCATTTTTGCGGGTTTTTCCAGACTGTGACCACATGTAGTTATCTTTAAAAAAGTTTCGTAAAAATAACATACAATGATAGCGCCCTCTGTTAATTAAAAAAAGTTTCCCGAACTTCTTTGCGCTTTATAGCTCCATGGTTAAACATGACCATGAAAGTTTAACCAAACCAACACAAATGTACAATTCTTATTACATTCAACGTTTAAATGCTGTCGTGTTATACTTAAGAAGAATAATAGAGTGGAATCAATCGTCTTTTAATGCTTTATTACACAATTCTAATTTAAGCCTTTTTATCATCAAAAACAATATTATTTTTAAATCCCAGAAATCGTATACTTATGTGTCATTAATCGATTATAGACTTGAGCCTAACCTCACTTGCATACTAAAGTACGCTTACGCTATTGATGTACGTGAGCCAAATGATTATCTAATGCATGGTCATCCCACAAATTTATATAAAGAGCTACATGGTCAATGGTCTCTCAAATGTGTTGGAACGATAAACTCTTGATGTGTTCTTCTCTAATTAAAAATTGTAGATGTTATTTATAATTATGTAGATTCATGGATGTAGCGTGTGCTCGAATTTCCTACCATAAGATTGTTTTTGTTTATAGTAACGCGGTATCCTTAACCATGGAGGTATTAACGGAATGAAGGTGTGGTCTTAAGGCAGCCTAAAACATTGCGGTAAATACCTAGCGTAGCACTAGCCTTAAAGTATGATAGATTGGCGGGAAACAAGGTCAACAGCAGATTGTGTGCTTAATCAACCTTTGACCTTTTATAATGCTTTATCACTAACTCGGTCACTAATTCAGGGATCAGAAATAATGATATGTAATGAGAGAAAGAAACCGAAAACTGGTAGGGAAGGAATATGAAATGTTAACGCAGGAATTCTATAATAATAATAATATGCAATATTCAAGCATTTTGTATGGGTTAAATTCTTGAAATTTGGTTTAATACTAAAATACTGATATACATTTTTGAAATAATGAATTTTAAAATTTAATAGACGAACTTAAAGTACTAAAATATATGTACTAAATTCTTAGCCACTATAGGCAAGAAGGAACATTTTGTGTATTACTGGTAAAAAAAGTGAAAGGTCACGACAGCTGTAGCAAGGGCGGAGCCAGAAAATGAAGCTATGTGGGGTTGTGGGGTGGTGGGAGGAAGATATATAATGTGGGGACTGTAGGCCTACGGTCCTACTCTATGCCTGGCCTACAAAGAAACAAAATATGACTGGCCAATGATTTAGGAGAGAGGGGGCGCGAAATCTTGATTAGCCATGCTGTAAATCCGTCCCTTTTAGTATCTTTATCAAAAAATGGTCGTACATTTGGAATACCGTTTTTAGGCGAGTATTAATTCAATACGAATTGTGATTTTGGAAATGCGATAGGATTGATAGGCCAACGAAATTAAAATATTTCATGAACTAATACAAATACAAATAAATTTCAAGTACAGATATTAGGTTAATCTCAACAATTTTAACAAGAATGTTTAAAAAATGGATTTAAAAGAGAATTGGATTGGATTTATTAGCAATTTATATACAATTTCATTTTATTCGGGCAATGCCCGGCTTCATCAGCATACACTTTTGAAATATTCGAGTTGCAACTAGCAGAAAAATTAAACCCTTTTAAGGCAAAAACACAAGGACTTGAAAACACGTGTATGAGATTTTAAAAAATATATAATGTTTAACATACGTGTATTTGAGGATGATAGCCAATATCGTAAAATACACAGTAGGGCTGGTATGCCATGTATTCAATTGACAACAATGATTCTAAACGTCTTTAGATAAAGTTCAAAATATTATCAAATCCATAAACTAAACAAAAATGATCGCGTAAGTTAATGTATCATACAACTGGAAACAAGCAGCTAGCCATGGCATCATCACATCATTCGTAATAGAATACATCGCCTGCTAAGCAACGCTGCGTTTTTTCTTGTTTTACCATTAATACGATGTATTAATAACCGTTATTAATAACTCTGTATGGACATAATTCATAAAACGAACACGATATTATTACATGGGTCAGCCCCCTGTTTATATTTCATTACAATGCTATTTAGTATTCTGGTTCATTATAAAGATGGACCCTGAGGTAACGGAAAATATTGCCTGCTGCTTCTTTTTCTATACAATGACTAGCAGAGCCAGCTCGAAATTAATTATTAGAATAACATATTCATACGTTTTCGTCTACAAAATGTTGCAGGTGGCGGGCCATAGAGATACGTTTTATGCAGTTTCAATAATAGCACTGTACCGGTAACTGTATACCAGAGCATTGCATGTTATAGTTTATATCAATACGCCCTCTTATAATAAACCGCTTGCAGGACCTCCAAAGTTGTTCCTTCTTACATAGGCTCCCACATTGGTAATAAAAGGTGCTACTGGTAATATTATAATGCTAAAACGATAAAAAGTTAATATAATACTTTATTAATGTTGCAGGTTGCTAACTTTAACGGGTAAGTTAATGAGTTTATTTCCACATGAGAATGACGTGTTATAATGTTAGTTAGCCAACGTACTACTATGTTAACCGGATTTAAATTGTTCAAATAATACAATATTGTTATTCAATATTGTTTTAAATCAGTAGTACACTATTTGAAATTATTGCAAGAAGATCTGAATATAATAATATCACAGCACAAGGACATAGGTAGTCCTACAAATAAGATTGAATGAGAGTTTCTATATTATAAGTTCGCGTCATAATTGACTGAAAATGGCGCGAAAGTTAGTAAATCTTATTCAAGGTAGGTCAGTTAGGTCAAAGTAATTTCTATAGGTGATCTATGGAATGTAATCTATAGTAAAATGCTAGGCCAATTCTTTTAAAGCAAACGGGTTGACTATTAATGCGATTATCCCCTGCAGGGTACTACATGCCTATAGAGGTCAAACACTTGTGGTCAGTTTCAAATACAGTACGGCACACTATAAATGTTGAAAGCTGTTGTCCGAGTAATTGACAAGGTCACTGTCCTAGCCTAGGCCAGGTCAAGTTTTGCAAGTCCAAATTTGAACGAACGATGATGGACGATAATTATTCTCTGGGTTCTCACGGCACCGAATATTTTGGTTCAACTGAACATCTATATTAGCTAATAAAACAACTCACGAAGAATATCAACAGAGTAAAAACACCTTAAATTTCTTACATTATCCTTGCAATTAATATACGATAAATTATTAATAATATTCAGATTTAAACGATATTTTAACGCAGTTTGAGGTGTTGGTGGCATATAAAGCACTTCATTTAAATAAAAGTACAAATCGGCTAAAATTTCAGATCAGAAATTCAATGTATCATTAGAAATGTAGCCATAGGCCTTAAATAGTAAATGTAATAAGTAACAACGTTGGCAAAGAGAGAGATGGGCGTTGCAATTCACTGGGGGAGGAGGTGAGAAATCCCTGGCACACCTGCATACAACATCTGCAATTGTTGCGAGGTCGGCGTTATTTAATATCAATAATGATTTACTTGGTTAAGTTATTCTGTAGTCATCATGAAATGTCAAAAACCCACGTGTTGATGTCATAATATTCTATTTATTTGTGCTGAAAAACATGGCGGCTGACTTGGCATATTTAATAGCATGAACCTCCGATCATCTCTGACTAAACGCGTTATTAATATTATTCGTCAACCTTGTCCCATAGCGTGCGTTGGTCACTCTATATAGTCGATAACATTGTTTATGTGATTGACTGACCGACAAATGTACATGGCCTTGGCCTGGGTAATATACTGTAAAGATTGTTGGACAAAGGATAGAATTGGGAGTAATAGAAGACACCAAGCTTTCGCAGTCAAATAACGTAAGCCTCGTTTTTGTGAATTTAAAAATGTTTCTTAATTCACATAAGGTAAGGTGTCGTACCTTTCAATTATTTATACAAGAATATTATTAACATGATTTTGTAGGAGTATAATATGTTTATATTATTTTGTTATAGAAATACAGTAAATAATACAAAGGCTAAACTCGTGGCATGTACAAAAACTTTTTTAAATTTATATAAGAACACATTTTATAACACAATAAGAACATGAGGCGGAAATAGCTTAAGAAATAAGAACAAATTGAGGCTAAGGTAAAATGTCAAAAAAAGAAAAAATAGAAAACCAACAAATCAAGCTAGTCACATGTAGTAAATTATTATAATTAATGTTTAAAAGGACTATACTGTACTATAAAATTCGTTTGGTCTTATCTGTACTGCATGCGCAGTACCGTTTTGTGTGAATATGTAATAATAATAATAAGACCGTCTATGATTTAAAAAGAGTACGGTACGGTAAATATTCTGCTGTACATTCAAACAAATTGAGGCTGTGATGAAATGAGGTTTTATGGGGGAAAAAAAGCTTTAAAAATATGCCAACAAATCAAGATAGTTTGTTTAAGAAGGTTATATCAACATCTGAAGTTCCATCACAGAACGACAAATAGGCCTACTCAGCTAAGTATGTGCATAATTCCCCTCAAACCAGCCGTTCTCATGCAGTCCCTTTCTGCCAGCAAAAGGTCGACCTACAGTACGGTGTAAAATATGAACAAAATAAAAACATTTTGAGCCTGAAATTGGGGGGAAATAAGAACACCGACCCCGGGCAAAATTTTACTGGTTCTTATGAAAAAAGGGTACCATATAACTTATTAAACAGCATTCGGTTTTAGAATAGT